TGTTTCACAAACAGTGTTTTCAAACGAGAGAAATGTATTCTCTCACACTTGGAGGCTGGCAGTCTGAAAGCGAGGTGTTGGGAGGGCCATGCTTCCTCTGAAACCTGTGAGGAAGTCCTTCCTCGCCTCCTCCAGCTTCTGGTGGTTTGCTGGCAATCTTCAGAGTTCCTTGGCTTGCAGCTACACAGCTCTGATCTCTGCCTTTATGGTCACATCCTCTCCTGGGTGTCTCTGTCTTCACATGGTTGCCTTCTAAGGATACCAGTCGTGTTGGAGTAGGGGCCTATGTCACTCCTCAGCCTAACTAATTACATTTCAATAAACTTATATACAAATAAGGTCACATTGTACAGTATTGTGGGCTATGCCTACCATATATCTTTTTGGAGGGGCACAATTCAGCCCCTAACACTTGCCTCCCTTGGCCATATTCTGTAGCAGGGCCTTTTTTTAAAAAATGCTTTCTTTGGTTTGGAAAACCACCTCTTACCTGAAAAATTGAGTGAGAAGTCTCACATCTTCCAAGTTATGATATATATATATATATATATACTCTTTTTTTTTTTTGTAGTCTACTCTATTTTTCCTTCTATCATAAACCTTCACGACCCAACAGACTATTTAGACATTGAGCAGAGAGTGATCATTTTCCCCCAGCTCTTTAAGAGTTCCTAAGTCCTGGAGCTTTATATGAAGCATTGATTTGAAAGCTTAATTTTTGGATAGGGCCTTTACAGGACTTTATGAAGTGATGACTGATTTAGCTTTACCTCACCCTCAAGATGTAGCTACAGCAGCAGATGTTCTTGCTGTAAAGCATTTGGCTTTAAATACATTTCTTTTCAACAGGGTTGGCACCTTGTGTTTTTCTCTTTCATTCATTCTTCTGAATATAAGTGTTTTAACTTCTTGCAAGCCCCATATACTTTGCATGAAAAAATGAGTGCAACCAGCCTTCATATGGCCAAGGACAGACAGATCTCTCTTCAGGGGGTGGCAGCAGACAGCTCAGCAGGCCCCCACTGGGTCACACCAATGGCTTCAAGACATCAGGTGCTCTGAGTGATCTCCAAAGGATAGTTTTAGAAGGTCAGACAGAACTCTATTGACATGAAGGTGGTTCAAATGAGATGCAGCCCAGCTTAGTAATCAGGAGCAGAGGCTGAGGAGAATGACCACTTGCTGGCTGTGTGAACTTGGGCAAATTACTTAAGCATCAGTTGCATCATGGTCTGTAAATAGAGTGTATTACATCTGCCTTACAAGTGTACTGTGAGGATTGAATAAGCTCAATGCAAGAAATGTGCTTAGCACAGGACTTGGCATACAGTAAGAAGCAACAATTTTTTTTTAAAGATTTTACTTATTTATTCAGAGAGAGGGTAGAGGGAGGAGCAGAGGGGGAGGGAAAGGAAGAGGGAAGGAATCCCAAGCAGACTTCTCGCTGAGAAGGAAGCCTGATGCAGGGCTCATCTTGGGACCCTGAGCTAAAACCAATAGTCAGACACTCAACTGACTGAAGCGCCCAGGCACTGCAAATAACAGCAATTATAATGTCAAGAGCTCCTGTTAGTCCCCTCCCCCTTTAATTTAGACATTCCTTGCTTTAATTTATTTTCCAACTGGTTTCAGGATTATTGTCCCTTTGGGGGCATCTGAAGGTCACGTTTGAGAAAAGGAAAGCAACCAAGTGTTTAAGGGATGCAGATGGACATCTGATCAAACGTAATTTTTTTTTGGAAAAATAAAACTTTGCTAAGTATTTGTGTCCTACAGTAGCATGACACTTTGTTAGGGTGTTAGGGTTAGTGCAAAAAGAGGAGGTCAAGCATTGATTAGTAATTTAAGTGTTAAAGAAGGAAGCCTGCAATGAAGCAGGCCACGCAAATAGTTTTGTCTGTAAAGATGCCAGCATTCCTGAAACAATGAGCTCATCATCAAATTCTTCTTCCACCTCCCATAAAAGAATCTATGACTTATTTACTCGTTTTGCTTTGGTTTTCTGGGCAGCTGAGAATGGAATAGAGCAGCAGTTCTCAAACTTGAGCATGCATTAGAATCCTCTGGAGGGCTTGTTAAAACACAGATCCTGAGTCTTGGCCCCAGAGCTGTCGTTTCATTAAGACTTGGATGGGACCTGAGAATTTGCATGTCTGACAAGTTCCCAGGTAATGCTGACATGGCTGACCCAGTATCTATACTTCAAGAACCACTAGTGTGGAATCCTGTGAAGCATTGTGATATGATAGAGAGCACAGGGCATTTTAGACACAAGCAGGTGGGTTCGCATTCTCAGGCCATCCTTAGTAGCAGAGCCATATTAAGTAAATAATTTCTCTGAAATCGAGTTTTTTCCATTTTAAATGAGAATAATAAAATCTACTTTGTTAAGGTCATTTTAAGACTGAAATAGGTTTTCTATAAAGCCCTTTGTTCAGAGCCTGGCATGTGCTAGTTTAATAGATTCTATTCATGGGCAGCCCTGGGTGCCCATGAATAGGTGCAGTTTAGCGCCTGCCTTTGGCCCGAGGTGTGATCCTGGAGACCCGGGATTGAGTCCCACGTCGGGCTCCCTGCATGGAGCCTGCTTCTCCCTTTGCCTGTGTCTCTGCCTCTCTCTTTCTCTGTGTGTCTCTCATGAATAAATAAATAAAATCTTTAAAAATAAATAAATTAAAGATTCTATTCTTTTCTTTACTGTAAGATTTTTTTCATAGTTCATGTAAATATTTTTGAATATTCTGGGTAACCAAGTCTATCAAATGAATAATACTGTTTATTTAAATGACTGAAACAGTCTTAAAATTTTCATCAAGATTCTGCTTCAGAATTTCCAAGCCATTTTTCAAACTGGGGTGTGTGTACGTGTGTGTATGTGTGGCTTTTTTCTTTTAATTAAACAGTTCCTGCCTATTTAATTCTTACTAGGTGGCAAATTACATAACACACTGGGAATTTCAACCTTCTCTAATTTTGCACATTGGAATTTAGCATATTTTTATGTGTAGGTAGTAGAGGGCAGTGAAGGTCATGGCTAGAATGGAAATCCTTTTCATGAGCAGTTGGAATCTGACTGCAATTTTGTCTTCTTGGATTTAGCAGCAACCATGTAAATACCTGGGTAGCACAAAATCACCAGGGAACTTCTTAAACAGATAGAGCCCACCTTAACACCTTATTTCTTTTTTTTTTTAAAATTTTTATTTATTTATGATAGTCACAGAGAGAGAGAGAGAGAGGCAGAGGGAGAAGCAGGCTCCATGCACCGGGAGCCTGACGTGGGATTTGATCCCGGGTCTCCAGGATCACACCCTGGGCCAAAGGCAGGCGCTAAACCGCTGCGCCACCCAGGGATCCCAACACCTTATTTCTGAATAACGTGTTCATATGTCTAATGCAGGATTTGATTCATATGCATTTTAAAGAATTCCCCTGGGTACAGACACTACAATTCAAGGAAGACTAGGAGTGGGCTGGAATGGTCATGATTGCATTCAAATACAGATTTTACTGCCTACCTAGCTTATGTGGGCTTGAGCAAATTCTCCAATCTTCCTGAACCTTGGTGTTTTACATGTGAAATGGGTTGCTCTTACTCATCGGGGCTGTTGTGCAGATTACACTAACCCATATGAAGTGTCTTGCGTGGTTCTAGGCATGAAGCACTTAAATGCTCTAATATTGTGGTGGTTCTTTTAAAACGCCAGACACATAAGGTGGACAAATAAATCAACACAAAAGTTCCGAGATGGATGGAACTGAAATGAAGCCAATTGACTCTGTGAATCCGTAAAATATTTATTAAGCCTCAGAGAAAGAGGATTCTCTGAAGATTATGTGGAAGTGACTGATTTCTTACAGGTGCCTTTAGATCAGACACATTTACAACTAGTTTCTGAACTGTTATAATCATTCTTATAGAATTCAAGCTCTCTATTTTGGTTGTATTGGAGCAAATTGTTCAACTTAATCTATTGAATCAGCAGATTATCATTTTTTACTGTGCCAGAACATTTGTTTTGCATTCACTTTAATGTGACAAGATAATGTCCTGTCATGAAAATATTAAACACTTCAAGAGAGCCTAAATGAAGCCATATAAGCACAAGACAGCAGAGCCAATATTGTTCAGTAGCAGGGTAGGAAAATCAGTTTAGAAAGAAAACAATATTACTGTAGAAACGTGTTCTTATTCCAAGAGTAGGAAATGCCATATAAATTCATGTTCACTTGTATTTATCTCAGCACCTTTGTGGTTGTTCTATAGTTTCCTAACCAGTTTAAGATATTTTATTCTTCATAAGATGGTCTTTCCCAGCTTACTGACATGTTTCTAATTTCTGTGTTTAAAATTAGTATCATGGCACTTTTCATTTCCATACTGTTCCTGAAGATCTATGTCAATGGAGCTTTCAAAAGGGAATTTATCAGCTGCAACTGCACACCTGTTAAACAAAGCTCAAGAACAGGCAGTCCTAATGGGGTTTTCATTGTGGATCCTTTGGTGTAGGGTTCCCAAAGGACAATGGTCAGCATTAATTAAAACATCCTAAAAAAAAAAAAAAAAAAAAAAAAAAAAACAACCCATCCTGAAGTCTGTAAACCGCAGTTGCTTCTGTGTGAGGTGCAGTGAAGAGCTTTGAGTTATCACTTGAAAACAATGATACAGGAAATTCTCACTTTCTAATTGCTTTCATGCAGATGCCGCTTTAAAGTAAATATTCTTCAGAGTCACTGGGATTAACACAATTTATTGTTTTAGAGAATAAATGTTTTCTATTTCTAATTTGTTACACAAGAGGGGGGAAGGAGAGGACTCTTTGTATATGTGGCAAATGTCATATTGCCTGCATGTCTGGGAACAGGAGAGTCTCTTGAACCTTGACTCCTTAAGGGAAAGAAAATGTCGCAAATTATGGGTTATGCTTCTAGCATGCATGTGCAACTGCCAACAAAGAGGTCATTTCGAACTAGTGGCACTTTCAAATATTTCCTTCCAGGGTGGACACCGAGGGACAATACACGATTACCCGGGCTTCAGCCCATCAGTGGATGCTGAAGCCATTCGCAAAGCAATCAGAGGAATTGGTGAGTACTGCTTCGCAATTCCTCTCTTCATGTTGAAGCAAATCAGGAAAGTTAGAATTTAAAAGCGCATTGGTTCAGTTTGCCCAAGTTGGCTTACTTGACTAGAGAAATTATAAGGGACTTTTAAAAACTGTGAAGTAGTGGGGTGCCTGGGTGGCTCATTGGATTAAGCATCTGAGTCTTGATTTCAGCTCAGGTCATGAGCTTGGGGTCTTGAGATCAAGCCCTGTGTCAGGCTCCACACTGGATGTGGAACCTGCTTAAGATTCTCTCTTCCTCACCCTCTGCCCCTCCTTGACCACCTCTAAAAAATAAATAAATAAAAATTGTGAACTAAGGAGGAAAAATGCATAAGGCACCAAGTCTTATTAAATCTTAATATTTGCCACGTTTACTTCCTATGAAATGGTATATTACCATCACTGGTACCAACAGGAGTGATCATCATAATAAATTATTATAGATAACATTCCTGCTGATTCTTCCTGGACCTCTTTCCCACCCCATTTCCTAGGGATAAAACACCATCCTAAAGTAGAGTTTATTCCCATGAAACTTTTAGTTCCTTAACTACATGTGTAGGTACATATTGTTTTGCACGGTCTCTAACAGTATAAACTGGAATGATACTGTGTGTTGTGAGTACGTTCTTCTGCAACTTCTTTTTATCCCTTAACATTTTGTTTTTGAAATTTATCCATGTTGCTCTCTGTTTAGCTATATTTCATTAACTTTACTTTCATAGTAGTCTATTGAATTATTATAAGATGGGATATTGATGGAACATGTAAATTGTCTACAATTTTTTTCTATTATAATATAAAAATGCTGCATTGAACATTTCTGTTTATGTCTTGTTGTTTGCTAGCATTTCTTTAGAATATAACAAATGGAATTTCTAGGTTGAAGGTGTTCACCTTCAAATTAACTAGAAATTTTGCCAAACTGCTGTCTGAAATGAATATGCAAGTGAGCATTCCTCCCAACAGTACATGAGATTTACCCTTGCTCCCTATTCTCACCAGTACTTGCTAAGGTCACACTATTCTGATTCCCAATTGAGTAGGTCTGCAGTTGTATCTCATCCTGTATGTGTGTTTGCTTCCTCTCTCCTCCCTATCCACCATGACTGATACGGCAGTCTCCTCCTTTCTTGTTCATTTGCTCCTTCAATGAATTATATCTTCATATCTTGGATTGTCTTCTTCATGATTGGCAAGATTGTTTTTTGCAAATTCTGGGTACAAACTTAAAAAAAAATTACAATCCATGAAAATATCTTCTCCCAGTCTGTGTTTTTCTTTTAACATTGGTTATATGACTTACATTGCATAGAAATTTTAAATTTCAGTGAAATCAGATTTGCCAGTATTTTTCCTATGGATTTTTTTTTTTGTAATGAGCTCATAAAGATATTCTTCTGTATTTTCTCCCCAGAGTTTTACAATCTTATTTTTCACTTTGAGATTTTCAGTCTACCTGGAATTAATGCTTGTGTAAGTTATTTAAAGGTATCTAATTTTATTTTATCTCATGTGGCCAGTTGATTGTCCCAGCACAATTTATCAAATAACACATCTTTTGCACACTGATTTGTAATGCTGCTTTCATCTTGAAAGTTTCTCTATGTTTCTGCTCTGTTTTGCTCCATTGGTCTGTTTGCCTATCCTGTCTCCATACCACATTGTCATGATTACTATTCTAATTTTATAATTAGTGTCTAGCACGAGGAAAGCTTTTCTTGGCCCTTTGCCCTCCACTCTGAATTTTAGGGTCAGTTTGTCAATTCCATGAAATATACTCTTAGGGGTTTTATATCAGTGTAATATTATCTTATTTCTGTCTGTTTGGGTTTATATTTTTTCTGTCATTAAATGGCAGTTATTTCTTCATTTATCTCTATGCCTTCCCTACTTATGCTCAATGTTGAGTAGACTGTTCCATGAGGCTAATGTCAAATTGAATGAAATAATAGTCTTACATTCTATTTCTTTTCTCAATATTATGTTTCTTCACAAACTTTTGCATTTTGGGTTGCAGACCTGATTTGAGATGCTTACAAGGACCATTACTGATGTGTTCTCAGTCCAGAGCCAGGTGTCATAATGGTATTTGCATTAGGGATGTGTCAGATCCAGTCTCTGAACCATGAGGCAGCTTGTTTTAATTTTTGGTCTTGAGCATGTACAAAACTAAGAGGTGAAAAACCTTCTAGCATGCAAACTTCATGCAGCTGCCAGTAGTAGTAGTTACTTTTGAAGTCTAGGGGCAAAGGGCATACAGATGCAGAGAAGGGGTAGAAAATTAGAACAGAGACTTAAGGCAGGAGCTGGACCCTGATGAGCAGGTGTATGAGCTAAGGGGCTTGAGCTTCATCCTGAAGGTTATAGAGAGCCATTAGGATTTCAGCCAAGGGATTGACATGATCAGGCACATTTTACAGAATTTAGTGAGGCAGTAATGTATGATATGAATTGTAAGGTGGCCAAATCAGGAGGCTATTGAAGTTTCTGGGTGAAATACAATGTGTACACAGGGGCAGAGACGAGGACAGATTCAAGAAATGCAGATGATTGCTACGATGTAGGGAGGGAAGAAAAGAAAGGAGTACAGGATGACAGCCAGGATTTTTGGTTAGGTGACTGTATCTGTAGTGATGTCATTGATAAGGGAACATAGAATGAGAGACGAGTGACAGAGGAAAGAGAATGAGAATGAATTCAACCCGAATTCTTCCCTTCCTCTATGCATTGGTTTCAAACGATTCATCATGTTTTTTTTTGTTCACAACAGATATTAAGCATCTTTGGGTTGATGGTGAGTAAAATTACTTTCGTTTCATTTAGGAACCGAAGAGAAAACGCTCATCAGCATTCTGACTGAAAGGACGAATGCACAGCGCCAGCTGATTGTTCGGGAATATCAAGCAGCATATGGGAAGGTACAATTTGATTAACATAACAGCCAGTAAAGAGCTAATCACTATGGATCAGGGATGCTCCTGCGTGATTACACCCGTGGATCTTTTGTTTCAGGCTGAGTATAACAGAAAGTACCTTGTGTATCCAGTCAGTAGCCTGGAGTTTGAGTCCTGGTTTGGCCCTTAACAGGCTGAATGGGCTTGCTCATGTTATTTGATCTGCCTAGGCCTTAATTTTTTCACCTGTTGAGTAAGGAGGGTTGTCCTAGACCAGTGGCTTTAAACTGGAATGATTCTGCTCCCCAAGGGATATTTGGCAATATCTTTGATTATCACACCTGGAGCTAGAGAGTGAGAGGGGAGGATGTTTTTGGAATCAGTGGGTGGAGGTCAGGGATACTGCTAAAGATCCTGTGATGCACAAGATGGACCACACAGCAAAAGAATTATCTGGCCAATTATCTGAAAGACCCTGTCTTAGATCATCTTTGATTTCTCTTCTGACTTTAAAATACCTTTGTAGTTGTATATTTAATTTATTCAGCAAATGAAAATTTACTAAGTAGCAGAAACTATACAAGAACTGTGCAAGGACGTTTGTGGTTTTTCCATATGGTATATTTGTTCAGCAATAAACTCTCTGTGTCAGGAGTCGAGTATCACTCTGGATCTGGGGAAGAGCATTTCAGACAGAAGGCACAGCACATGCAAAAACCCTGAGGCAAAAACAAGCTGAGAATATGTAAAAACCAGACAGACTTCTAATATGGCAGGAGTACAGAGACTAAGGGGAGTAGATGGAAGAGATGGGGTTGGAGAGGGTTAGAATATGCTGGGCCATGGGGTCTTCGTACAGAGTTTAGGTTTTATTCCAAGAATGATACGGAATCATTGGAAGTCTGTAAGCAAGGGAGTACTAGAAACTAATTTACATTTTTGAAAGATTATTTTAACTTCTGTGGCTCACAAACTGTGGAGGGGAAAGAGTGGTAACAGAAAGCAGTCAGGCTGTTGAGACCAGGTGAGAACCGAGAGAGTGTTTTTGGTTTTCCTATTAGGGCATAATATCCTAGGAGTAAAGACTGTGTCTCACTTGATAAAGTTTTGGAATATAGGTGAGGTTTGGTGGAGTGAGATCTGGAGCCGACGACCAAAAAAGAATTCTTGAGATGTCTTTGGTGCAAAATGGTGGTTTTATTAAAGCCCAAGGACTGGACCCGTGGGCAGGAAGAGCTGCTGCCCAGGGCCTGTGAGGGGTGGCTGATTATATACCTGGGAGTGGGAGGGGTTTGAGGATAGCGTACTCTCTAAGGAATTCTGGAAGCACGGTTTCCAGGGCCTTGAGGGGGCCAGCATTGTTGGGGAAAGGTCACTTATTACCATCTAATAAAACCTGAGTCATGAGACCCTTCAGATGTGTACCGGTGGGCCATGTGCTTGGGGGATGATTGTCAACACATGTCTTGGGCATTTAGAGTTAAGGGGAAATTTCTAAAGGAATTTTTGTATGTTAAAGTAGACTTACAGGTCCTGGGGGTCTGGCTAAGATTGCCTTCTGCCCATAGCAAAGTATGAACATCGAGGCAGTTGAGTCTGTAGAGGAATGTCACTCTCCTTGTTTCAAGGACTTGTCAGTGTGCTTTGTCCTCAGCTAGCCCTGTGTCCCCCCGTCATCACTCACCTTTAAATGCTTAGTTCAGAGCAGATGCCCAATACACATCTGTCAAATTAAATTAATTGCCAAGCTTCCTGACAACACACAACACTCGTGTCTAGAAGACACGAATGATACGTTGGCCTTTCAGGATTTCCAAATACGGAGGAAGAATGAGGTGAACGGTGACACCATTTCTCACAGTGGGATGGAACGAGAATGTGTGGAGTCAGATTCAGCTGGAAAGTCCTGAATTGAGGAAAATGGCAGTAGAGTTTAGCATTTAGAGAGGAAACTCCCTCTGGTAATGAAAGCAGAACTATTGACACTTGGCTCTATCTCATTTGTTTTGCCTGCCACCCCCTGCCAAGCCCCCCAGTGGCTTAGTAGATGTTGGGATGTAGCACATTGTCATAGCAATCTGGGAGGCTGCCAGTCTCTGTCTCAGAGCTGAAAATAATCAAGAGCAAGAAAAATAATTCAATAATGCTCCTTTGAATATTGAAAATAACCATGTTGCCTGCCTTCAAGCAGAGGAAACGGACTGTACATATATAATGTGTGAAACAGGGACAAAGGACAATAAGAAGCAATGCCAGCCCCATTATATTTACGGTTTTCCCTGCTGTTGTTGCCGGAAAACTGCTTTGATGACTCCTGGTCCCACACGCTTAGCAGAGGCAGGTGACCAGGCACTGTACTTCCTTCCCTTTTCTCTCCAGGGCTCTTTGGCAGTCATTGAGAAGCATCTACTCATGAAGCTGGGTGTGATTTATAGGGCTCCTCTTCCTCTTCTTCCTCCACCCCAACTCAAGTATTGAGAGCATCTGGGGCCTGGGAATTGCATTTGGATACACAGTTCCTATCTGTGGCACTTATGTAACCTCCTCCCCTGGCTTTCCTTCCAAAAACCTATAAAACAGAACATTTTGGAAGCAATCACAAAATGCAGTGATATGCTTAGAAATATTTCACCATTTCTCTAGTCCCTGTGAATTGGCATGTTTTTGTCTGAATTGATACATTTATCTTTCATGATGTGACTTTAAAGAAAGAAAAAGGAAAAGTACTTCATGCTTTTCTCTTTGGGGTTTTTTATTTTAGGAACTGAAAGATGATTTGAAGGGTGATCTCTCTGGCCACTTTAAGCAACTTATGGTGGCCCTTGTGACTCCTCCAGCTGTGTTTGATGCAAAACAGCTGAAGAAATCCATGAAGGTATGAGCCCAATATGAACCATTTCTGCCTAAAATTCAACTATGTCATCAAGAATAATGATTTACTTCCAGTGCACACTTGAGATATGGGTGTAAATAGGATAGACTTGGATGTCATTCTGATGCTGTGCTACCCAAGTGGTAGAACAATCCTGAAATGGGGGACGATTGTGGAACCTTGAGCCCAAATATTCCCGTGCTGAAAGGATATCATCTTTATCCTAATTTCATTTCCTTGGTTTTGGACTCAGAGTCAAATTTATTACTTTGTTGTCACGGAGAGTAAAGGGCACCATCATCCACCCCATTGCTTAGGTCAGAAACCTAGGATTACCTTTGATCCCTTCTTTCCCTCACTCTTCAAAGCTCCCCAAATCTTTTTTTTGTTTGTTTGTTTTTTTTAAATTTTTATTTATTTATGATAGTCACAGAGAGAGAGAGGCAGAGACACAGGCAGAGGGAGAAGCAGGCTCCATGCACCGGGAGCCCGACGTGGGATTCGATCCCGGGTCTCCAGGATCGCGCCCTGGGCCAAAGGCAGGCGCCAAACCGATGCGCCACCCAGGGATCCCAAAGCTCCCCAAATCTATCTGCAAGTCCATTTGCTCTTCTCCCAAATACGTCTGCAAGTCTATCTATCAGAAATGTATGTGTGTCTCTCAAAATCCGTTACTACCTTTCTAGTTCAACCACGACCATCTCTTGACTGGACAATATCAGTGCCTTCCTAATTGATCCCTTGCTTCTATTTTTGCCCAACTGGAATCCATTCACCAAGGTTTATTGCAAGAAATTTGTTACCTAAGTATGGATCTTACTATGCACATCTAAAATCTGTTGGGCAGGTTGTCAGGAAGGGCAGGCTGAAACTCTTAGCAGAGCTGGAGCTGCTGCCCACAAGTAGAATTTTTTCTTCAGAGAAGCCTGAGCTCTGCTCTTAAGGCCTTTTAACTAACTAAATTGGGCCCACCTAAAATGTTTAATATAATCTCCCTTGCTTAAAGACAATAATGGACTTTAGTTACATCTACAAAATACCTTCATAGCAGCACCTAGATTGTATTTGATTGCATAACTGAGGATTGAAGCCTAGCCAAGTTGATAAAGTTCCATTAAACTGCCCACCACACCCTCTTCTCCCTCTCCCCTCAATCCAATTCTATAGCTACACTGGCCTTCTCTCTGCTGCTTGAACATTCTAAGTTTATTCCTACCTTGAGGTCTTTATATATGATGTTCTTTCTATCTGGAATGTTTTCCCTCCATATATTTTCTATCAGTTCACTCCGTTTTATTTTCTTAATTGCACCTATTACCATCTAAAGTTAGCTTGTCCCCCCCACCCCACTTATTGGTTTTTTTATTTTTTTGTCCATTCAATTAAAAGGCAAATCTCTATCACAGTTGGGAACCTCATCAGTCTTGGTCTGTATCTTCTGTTCTAAGAGGAAAACCTGCAATGAAGTAGGTACTCAACAAATGTGTTGATAAGAACAAGAGGCAGGAAGGAGTCTAGGTCCAAGGAATAAGCTGTATTCTAACTCCTTATCAGAGATAGGACTTTCTCTTCCTTGGAAGAGATATGGGCCCCCAAGAAGCAGTTAGCAAGATGGAATGAAATACACAAGAGACTACCTGGGGGAAATCTTATGAAGGATAAAGAGGAGACAGAGCAGAATAGGTTGGGTGAAGCTTCAGATGGCAATACAGGTCTCTGACACACATAAAAGGAGAGAGGGAGGGAAGGAAGTAGGCTCAGATAGGAAGAGCTTCCATATAGAGTTCTGAGAAAGTTGTGGCAGGCCAATGGGGAGCTCCTGAGCAAAGATTGCCCTTTGGAGAAGTCCCAAGTTGGGCAGAAATGACCCAGCTCTGGTACTTCTTCCATGTTCGGTAACTTGCTGAGAGCAACTTGGAGGGAGCATGACTTGTTGGCAAACTATGGGGCAGATCCAAAGCTATGGCAATTGGAGTCTATGGACCAACTACCTTATTTGCAGCAGATTCTCTTAAAATGAAATCTGAGCAGCACATTTCTATGGCTGCCACGTGGGGGACAGTTGGGCAGATGTAATCATAGGATTAGATTCACCAACAAGGATTAGAAAAATTTCTCTCTTATGCAAAAGAAATCCATAGTGAAGCAGTCCAGAGCTGGGTGTCATAGCACTATCATTATCAGAGACTCAGATTCCTACAATCTTGAGGTTTTACCATCTTCAACCTGTAGATTGCACTTGTTGGCTAAAGATGGCAACTCAATATCTGGGCATTGTATCTTTATCCCAGTCAGCTAAAAAGACAGTAAGAGACAAAGAAGAGTTCATTTTCTCTCTTTGAGGACTCTCAGAAATTGTATGTGGTACTTTACAGATGTTCTATTGATTATCACTTAGTTATATGAATAAACATAGTTCTAAGGGAAGCTGAGTAATACAGTATCTATTTGGGTAGCTATGTGCTAGTTAAAAATTGAGGGTTCTATTACTAAACAAGGAAAGTAAGAGATGAGGTCCTTTCAATTTTGCTGTGAACCTAAAACTAACCTAAAAAATAGTCTGTTTTTAAATGAATTAATTAATTAATTAAAAAGGAGAGATGTTGAGGGCAGCTAGGAACCTCTGCCACAGAGGGACGGAATTCAGCCTCAGTTCATAAGCTGCATTGACTTTCTTTGATCAAGTCCTACTGTAAAAGGCTTGAAGTCGCAGTGTGATTCAGTGATCTCAATATAAACCAAGGCTTGGGGTAACTAGTCCCCAAACCAACTAGGCCCATAACATACATTATTAAGGCTTTAAAAATCTCCCTGTATGAAGATGTTACCTGCTGACCAACTTAGTGCATTGGAGGAATGATGAACTCATTCAAAAAAAATGCAGAGCCCTTTTTAAATATAATGGCATGTTTGAATGCTTGCATCTGCTCTCAAATGACATGGGCTTTTCCTTTTACACTATTTCTTCCCACAATTATTGAATTGATTTTCACACTAAAGTAGGAAATCTTGAAAATTTCTATGTCAGCTTAGATGATTTGTGTTATTTGCATACGAAAACATGAAAAAATGAGAAAACTACTTGAGTGCAATATACAACCTTATGCTGATTTGCTAAAACTTCATCTGTATAAAACAAGATATTAAGGCTGAAATGCCTGAAATTAAGCCTTTTAAGTATTCTAAAAATAGACCTCCTTTTCCTTTTTAGGGAGTTGGAACCAGTGAACAGGCACTGATTGAAGTCTTAACCACCAGAACAAGCAGACAGATGAAGGAGATTGCCCAAGCCTACTACACAGGTGGCTTTCTTTTCTGCTTACTTTTACCCCTGTGCACACACTGATGAGCTGGTGTTGCTTTTCCCAGAAATCCACCAAGCTCTTTTTCACAAGGCATTTTGGGAAGGCAAGACATAAAAGATACGTTTTTAAATGGGCTAAGGTCTATGGATTTTCCAAGAAAAGTTGAACATAACCCAAGCTAGAAACTGCTGCCTAACAGTAGCATTGACACTCTGCACTTATAACATTACCTCTATAGTGGATTTTGCTCTTGGCAATCACTGCTTAATTCAATCAACTATTTTCATCCATGTTAAGAGATTCAAGTCATTATATATTGCTATATGTTAAAAACCACTTAGATTAGCCTCTTGATTTTTCATGTGGAAAATGAGATGAGCCATTCAGAGAATGTGTGAAGCCTGTGGATTCAGGATAATTAGCTAAAGTCCTAATAGTCTGCTTGTTAGCTGTGTGAAAATGAGAAAGTCCCTGCAGCACTGACACAGACTGCCCAGGGTTAGCATGACTCCACAAGTTACAGCACAGTCCCCGGAGAACTAGTCTCACTTCAGACACCTGCCACAAGCTCAGGGTCCCCAGGCCATGTACCCTTCTTACCAAATAGCAAGGTCAGGTGTTCTCACCATTCCTTAGGGTTCAAGAGCTTGCTAGCATAACTCACAGAATTCAAGAAAGCCCTGTACGGTTGACCCCTGAACAACACAAGGGTTTGGGGTGCTGACCCCCTGCATAGTTCAAAATCCACATATGACTTTTGACTCCTCAATAACTTAACTACTAATAGCCTGCTGTTGACTGGAAGCTTTATTGGTAACATAAACAGTTGACTAACACACACTTTGTATCTTATATGTATTATATACTGTGTTCTTAAAATGAAGTGAGAGATAAAATGTTTTTTAGAAAATCAAAAGGAAGAGAAAAATTAAAAAATCCACATTTAGGTGGACTGTGCAGCTCACACCGGTTGCTCAAGGGCCACCCGTACTTACAATTATTGTTTTACTCTAAAGAATAGCAATCAGGGGGATCCCTGGGTGGCGCAGCGATTTGGCACCTGCCTTTGGCCCAGGGCACGATCCTGGAGACCCGGGATCGAATCCCACGTCGGGCTCCCGGTGCATGGAGCCTGCTTCTCCCTCTGCCTGTGTCTCTGCCTCTCTCTCTCTCTCTCTCTCTGTATGACTATCGTAAATAAATAAAAAAAAATTAAAAAAAAAAAAAGAATAGCAATCAGGATCAGTCAAATGAAGACCTGCATTGGAGAAGTCTGAGAGGGTCCCAAATGCAAAGCTGCTGTGTCCTCAAGAGGCATCTCCCTCCCAGCACATCGATCTATAATTACCAACCAGGGAAACTCATTTGATCCTTGGTATCCAGTTTTTTTTGAGGTTTCATTACATAGGCATGGCTGAATCATCGGCCACGTGACTGTACTCCATCTCCAGGCCCCTCTGTTCCCTGCAGGTTAGGCTGACATTACGTGGCTCAAGGCCCCAAGGCTTCTAATTACACATGTTGATCTTTCTGGGACCAACCCCTACCCTGAATCATCCTGTTAGCATGAACTCAGGTGTGGTCCATGGGGCCTGCCACAAATAACAAAGACACTCCTATTATTTGGGAAATTCCAAGGATTTAGAAGTTCCCTGCCAGGAACCGGGACATCTGCATTATACAACAGTGTCCTCTAATCTTCCCCAAGCACCCCAAGGGAGCCACAGTTTCTGTTTGTGTATCAGGGGAGTCCTGCAGTAGGAGAGGTCGAGAAAAGGGATATACTGCCTCCTGGATGGGTGTTCAATAGGTGACTTTGAGAAATTCTCATTGGAAGGTAAATACCTTCACTTGCCTCAATGATAGGTAAATGACTATTTTATTCATGTGCTCATCAGGGAGCCATAAAACCAGAAAGAGCACTAGGCATTTTAATAGAATTTAATATAGAGAATTGTTTACACACCCTTTGGAGAACTGAAAAGCGTAAAGGGAACACAGGGATAGCAGGAGGTCTCAACAAATCCCAGGGCTGGGACAACAGAGGAGATGGGGTTTTCAGAAACTAGAAGCTCATAGGAGGGGCACCACCCTGCCAGTGTTGTTGCCTCAGGGGCTCTGAGGAGTTCAGATCTGTGCGAAAGGGCTGCATCTGGCTAGAGCTGGCCCTCTTTGCCAGTGCTAATTGGCTCTTTCTGGGAGCGGAACCTCCTGCTGCTGTCAGGATGAAAGGCCTTCACAGCTTTACCTGCTGTGAATAGCAAACAACTAGCCTGCTCTTCTCTCCTCCTGCCTTCCGTTGCCCTCTACCCCAAGTGGTGGACCCCAGGCAGGGAGTTGGGGCAGGGGAAAGGGGTACAGAAGAGAATTATAATTTACAGTGTCCTAATCCCAGCTCCATAAAGCATACAGGCTGATTTTGGAGTAGATGAGATAATTGCTTAATAATAGCCACAGATGGGCACATTGTAGGTTTTTAAAATATTTGGTTTTCTCAGTTCAATCAGATTTACACGTAAAAAAAATCATCAGAACCAGTGGCTGTATCCCAAGATGCCTTGTTACTTCCTAGTGTTTCTTAGAAGAGTTACTGCTCCATGAGTTGACCCACCCCTTGGTGGCTTTCTGGGATCCAGCATCTACATACAAACAACCCTAAGACATAAGCTCCATGAAGCCAGGAATTTTGTCTGGCTTTCTTGACTGCTGCAGTAGCTCCAGTGCCCAGAATTGTAGGGGATAAATTCAAGTATGCATTGAATTAATAGCCTCAAGATTGAGATTGTCATCTTAAGAGCCAAGTGAAAGTTCTAGCATTTAGCACTGTCGTTTTGCAAATATGACCTGTGATAATAGTTCAGTTATCAGCAGCCTTGATATCTGTGTGAAGTAAGCTCTCTAAGGCTATAGGAATGGACCAGCACCTAGGTTACTTTGATTGATAGGGATTAATGATAATTAAGAAGCAAAAGAAGGAAATAGTCCCAGCCATGTGTAGCCAAGCTTTACAGAAATTCAGGACACAGCACTACCCTAGGGATTCAGTTGTCCTGTCGCTCCCTCAGCATCAGGCATCCATTGCTCACTATGTTGATCGATCTTTCTTTCTTTCTTTCTTTCTTTCTTTCTTCCTTTCTTTCTTAGATTTTATTTATTCATGAGAGACACAGAGAGAGGCAGAGACACAGGCAGAGGGAGGAGCAGGCTCCTGGGGGACTTGATCCTGTGACTCCAGGATCAGGACCCGAGCTAAAGGCAGATACTCAACCACTGAGCCATCCAGGCGCCCCAATGCTGATGTTTCTGTTACAGTGACTCCTTCTTTTCCCTTTTTGCTTCTACTGTTCTTGACAGCACCAAGTAACTTCTCCCACAAGGTATTTGTCTACTCAGCCTTTTATTTGCCCCCCCCTGGTTTATGGTTATTCTTGGCTTCTGTTTTGTGCCTTATTCCTTGGATTCTTTCTACTTCTTTGTTACTATACTGTCTTTGTCTCTTTTCTGTATGGTTCACTCCCTAAGAGAAGATTCAATGAGCTCAGGAAGACATCATCTAATAGATATTATTTTGGCTGACATTCTCCTACTAGGTCACCTCTTAGGCTGCTGGCTACCTATAGTCAGATGCCAACGCAGTGGGAGTCAGCTACAGCAAGGGTGGTGGTGTCATATAACGTGAAATGGTGGCCCATGCATACAAAATCCATCAAAGTTGGCTACCATCTTGGCTTTTATAAAAGGACCAGGTGTCTTGTGTAGCTTGTCTAGTACAATGACACTATAGAGTCTAAATAGCTTATTTCTAAACTGTTTCTAGTATTTAAAAAAAAATTTCTAATTAGAATGGATAGATAAAATATCACAACTGTTAGATAAAATGATGCCTATTAAGTGTTGTTATTACTTAAATAATTTGTATAAAAAATGGATTATGCTTATTTGAGTGACTTCAAAAACTTTAAAAAATTACAGATTTTGTTAAAAAAAAGACTAAAATCATGCTGGAAGAGTTTCTATTTCAACACAATTCTTGCTATTAAATAATCTCATACCTTCTACAATTGTCTTATGTTGACTTAAAAGGACATTTATATGACATAGAGTTTTTTTTTAAGATTTTATTTATTTATTTGAGAGAGAAAGAGCATGAGAAGGGGAGAGAGAGGTCAAGGGAGAGGGAGAAGCAGACTCCCTACTGAGTAGGGAGCCTGATTCAGGGCTCATTCCCAGGATTCTGGGATCATGACCCGAGCCTAAAACAGAAGCTCAACCGACTGAGCCACCCAGGTGCCCCTGACCGTTAGAGTTCTTGAGAATGTTGCAGGCAGAGTTCAAAGAGCTGCCTGGTGTCAGCTACATCTAGGCATATAGTGACTGTCAGTGAATCACTACCTCATGGATGGAGCAAAAAGAGATTTAAAATCAGTGGACATTGCACAATATAGTATATGCAAGAGAGGCTACAACTAGTTAGTACTAAAATGTGTGAACACACAATTGGCATTTGTCATGGGAAATAGTATATTTTAGGGTACCTTTCTCATTTTTGAGAGGTATCACATAATACTATCTGGCTGTATACATCACAATTAAATTTAGGTTCCATAAAACAAACAGTGGCTCAGATAAGATAAAAATGTATTTCTCCCAGATGTAGAAGAAGTCACAGGCAATTCTAGGTCTGGCATAGTAGCTCCTCAACACTTTCAGACTCCATGCCCCTTCTTCCTTCCTTCCATGCTGCTGCTAACACATAGTACTTCTCTTCAAATCCAAGGTGGTTGCCTGAGCTCTAAGAGTCAGTCTACCAACCAGGCAGTAGGATGGAGGAGGGACATGGCTGTCCCTTATGGAGAGTTCCCAGCAATGTCACGTGTGTTTGCCTACATCTCGTTGCCAAGAACATAATTGTGGAGCTGTACCTAGCTAAGAGGAAAGCTGAGAATGCAGTCTGAAGTTGTGGGCATTATGTCTTGCTCAAGGACAGTGTTCTGTTACTGTGGAAGAAGGACATAGTAATGAGAAGGCAAACTAGCAGCTTGCCCACCCTGGCTTTTCCATGACACGTACGTTAGTGCCATTGTCAGATAAAGTGGACCATGATTTCATTAAAATGGCAGTTCTTTCTGTTCTTCTGCATCTACCACAACACACACGACAGTAAGAGTTATGAGAAGAATGTATCCATATCAGAAAAGCACCAGGAAGGTAAAAACAGAAGCAAGATTTATTTTATCAGGTACTCATTCTTTGCCAATGTTGACATTTAAGCTTTTCTCTGTTTTGTAATAATGTTTTCCAGTTTGTCAAGGCTTAATTTTTTCTTATTTGGTTTCAGTATATAAGAAGAGTCTTGGAGATGATATTAGTTCTGAAACATCTGGTGATTTCCGGAAAGCTCTTTTGACTTTGGCAGATGTAAGTTTTAATTTTTTTATTACCTAGCTGCCTGATAAGCTGTGTGCTTGATAAAAAATTTTTAAGGAGTTTAAAAATAACCAAACAGAGACAATGAAATTGCAATTTTCCTCGTGAAATATTTTGTTCATTTTACATTTTCATTTCTGGACTCCAAAGAATATATATTTCTTTTGTCAGCACTTATATTAAGTAGGAAACTTGATATGGAAAAATTATCTTCAGAAATGAGTGTATCAGTCTCTGGATTAAAAAAAAAACAACTGCAAAAATAAAAATAAACAAAAAATGACTTGTTGCAACTTTATCTTTGCTACCTTTGGAAGAATTGCTAAACCATTTGTCAGTATATGACCAAATGACGCCACATCTAGCTCTCCCTTCTCAGCAGGTTCATGAGTTTATAATAAAAGTGATAAGGTCAAGGTTGAGGTATAACCACAGATGTGTATAAGAGAGGCAGTAATTTAAGCCATATTTCACTGTCTTCTTTCAGCTGATTTACACAACTCTTAATGTGTGAGAAAATTCCAACAATGGCCGCGGCCTGAAGCTAGGAATAGTACTTGTCAACGTGAGGCATTATGCCACAAGAAAATTTATCATAATATGGTTTTCATTATTTTAAATAGTAAAAACCTTAGAGATTGAGCCTAGAAACTCAAATTTATGAGGCATTGCTGCAAGCAAACACTCTCAGAGGTTTATGTGCATAAGTGTACACCCATCTGCACGCACACACAAGCACACAACACCCATAGGAGGCAGCAGAGAGTAAGGCTTCAGGGCAGGTGGTTAGAATCCAATGGACCTGAACTCTCAGCCTCCTCTGCTACCTACTAGCTTTGTTTGAACAAACGACTTTAAGCCTTAAAACCTTTGTTTTCACATCTGTAAAATTAAAATAAGAGTACCAACCTCAGGGGGTTTCGTGTAGATTGAGGGTGGGGGTGCAAACAGTACTTAGCACATAAAACGTGATTATTAGTAGTAGTAGCAGTGAGTCGGCATTTTTCTTACTGGAGCAGGGTGCACAATGGAACAGAACAAAGAGGCAGTCTACCATTAGAAACGACAAATACCCACCATTTGCTTCAACGTGGATGCAACTGGAGGGTATTATGCTGAGTGAAGTAAGTCAATCGGAGGGGATTGACCGCTGGGTGGCACAGCGGTTTGGCGCCTGCCTTTGGCCCAGGGCACGATCCTGGAGACCCGGGATCGAATCCCACGTCAGGCTCCCGGTGCATGGAGCCTGCTTCTCCCTCTGCCTGTGTCTCTGCCTCTCTCTCTCTCTGTATGACTATTGTAAATAAATAAAAAAAAATTTATAAAAAAAAAAAAAGTAAGTCAATCGGAGGACAGTGTATGTTCTCATTCATTTGGGGAATATAAATAATAGTGAAAGGGAATAAAGGGGAAAGGAGAAAAAATGAGTGAGAAATATCAGAGAGGGAGACAGAACCTGAGAGACTCCTAACTCTGGGAAACGAACAAGAGGGTAGTGGAAGGGGAGATGGGTGGGGGGATGGGGTGACTGGGTGATGGGTACTGAAGGGGGCACTTGACGGGATGAACACTGGGTGTTATGCTATATGTTGGCAAATCGAACTCCAATAAAAAATATATACAGAAAGAAAAAGGCAATCTAACAGCAGAATGGTGGCAGCTCTGAAAAGGAAAAGAAATCTTGTGGAAACGAGACAGGCATACAAGGATCTAATGTTTGAAAATGGGAATAAATGCATTTAAAACATATTAGAGCCAAACATTTCGTTCACCAAAAATTTCCAAAAAAATTCAGGCAATTCCCCTTTTCCTATCTCTCATCTTTCTATGATGTGCTGAGGGTCTGTGCACAAGCACAGATGCACACTTTGTTCCTGAGGCCTCCACATTAAAGTTGGTGGGAACCTTCGAGGGCTCTGTTTTTTAATAAACTTTATTTTTAAGAGCATAAAAATCTTTTATTTTTAGATTTCCAGAAAAGTGGGGCAGAAAGTACATTATGGCATAGTATCATTGGTGAACGAAAACTGATACGTTATTGTTAACTAGAGTCCATAGGTACATTTAAGTTTCACTCATGGGTTTGGACAAATGAATAATGTCATGTATCCTCCATTACAGTATCATAGAGAGTAGTTTTACTGCCCTAAAATTCCTAGCCTCCAACTCTTCATCCTTCTCTTTCTTTAAAACCCCTGGCAATCACTGATCTCTTTACCATCTCTATTTTTTTTACCTTTTCCAGAATGTCATATGGTGGGAATCACAGAGCAGGGTGCCTCTTCAGATTGGCTTCTTACATTTATTAATATGCTAAGTGTCTTTCATGGCTTGATAGCTCTTTTTCTTTTTATCACTGAATACTATTCCATTGCATGGATATACGACGGTGTGTTTCACCCGTTGAAGGCATCTTGGTCTTTTCCAAGCTTTGGCAATTAGGAGTAAAAACTGCTAACGTTCATGTACGAGTTTTTTTTTTTTAATTAATTATTTATTTATTTATTTATTTATTTATTTATTTATTTATTTATTTATATGATAGTCACACACAGAGAGAGAAGCAGAGACACAGGCAGAGGGAGAAGCAGGCTCCATGCACCGGGAGCCCGACGTGGGATTCGATCCCGGGTCTCCAGGATCGCGCCCTGGGCCAAAGGCAGGCGCTAAACCGCGGCGCCACCCAGGGATCCCTATGTACGAGTTTTTGTGTGGACTTAAGTTTTCAGCTCACTTGGGTGAATATCAAGGAGCACAGTTGCTGGATTATAGTTAAAGAATGGTTGGTTTTGTAAGAAGTAGTCAAACTGTCTTCCAAAGTGGCTTTATCCATTTGCATTCTTGCTCGAAAGGAGTGACAGTTCCAGTTGTTCCAAATTCTTCCTGGCATTTGGTATTGTCGGGGTTTTGGATTTTAACCAGTCTAAAGTATGTATGTAGTGGTATTTTCTTGTTTGTTTATTTAATTTTCAGTTCCGTAATGACATATGATATTGAGAATCTTTTCATGTGCTTTCTTGCCAACTGTATATCTGATGCCTGTGCAGATCTCTTGCTTGTTTTATAATTAGGTTTTCATTGCTTAAGTGTTTTTTTTTTTTTTTTTTGGCTGGGTACAGTATACTTTATTGATGGTACATGACAAGGTAGGGCTCCCCAAGCCCCTCCCCTTCCTCGGGGTCTAGGATGTAAGTTGGAGGTCAGGAGATTCTCAGTGTGTTGGGGGATTCAGTTGGGGCAGGGACTCCCCAGCAGCTGAGGGCCTCTCTCTTCCTCTTGTTCTTGCTGGGGCTGGTGGTCCAGGAGGCTCTTACTCCTTGGAGGCCATGTGGACCATGAGATCCACCACCCGGTTGCTGTAGCCGAATTCATTGTCATACCAGGAAATGAGCTTGACAAAATGGTCATTGAGGGCAATGCCAGCCCCGGCGTCGAAGGTGGAAGAGTGGGTATCACTGTTGAAGTCACAGGAGACAACCTGGTCTTCAGTGTAGCCCAGGATGCCCTTGAGGGGGCCCTCCGATGCCTGCTTCACTACCTTCTTGATGTCATCATATTTGGCAGCTTTCTCCAGGCGGAAGGTCAGATCCACAACTGACACATTGGGGATGGGGACACGGAAGGCCATGCCAGTGAGCTTCCTGTTCAGCTCAGGGATGACCTTGCCCACAGCCTTGGTGGCGCCAGTGGAAGCAGGGATGATGTTCTGGGCAGCCCCTTGACCGTCACGCCACAGCTTCCCAGAGGGGCCGTCCACGGTCTTCTGGGTGGCAGTGATGGCATGGACGGTGGTCATGAGTCCCTCCACGATGCCGAAGTGGTCATGGATGACTTTGGCTAGAGGAGCCAAGCAGTTGGTGGTGCAGGAGGCATTGCTGACAATCTTGAGAGAGTTGTCATACTTCTCGTGGTTCACGCCCATCACAAACATGGGGGCATCAGCAGAAGGAGCAGAGATGATGACCCTCTTCGCCCCACCCTTCAAGTGCGCCCCAGCCTTCTCCATGGTGGTAAAGACCCCAGTGGACTCCACAACATACTCAGCACCAGCATCACCCCATTTGATGCTGATGGGATCTCGCTCCTGGAAGATGGAGATGGACTTTCCGTTGATGACAAGTTTCCCGTTCTCAGCCTTGACTGTGCCGTGGAATTTGCCGTGGCAAATTCATACTGGAACATGTACACAATGAAGGGATCATCGATGGCGACGATATCCACTTTGCCAGAGTTAAAAGCGGCCCTGGTGACCAGGTGCCCAATACGGCCAAATCCGTTCACTCCGTCCTTCACCATCGTGTCTCGGGGACGCGGCTGGCCCTGCACCAGAAGACGCGGCTGTCTGTCGGACAGGGAGGAGCAGAGAGCCTCATTGCTTAAGTGTTAAGAGCTCCTAATATATTTTGGATATAAGTCCTGCATCCGATGTGTGTTCGTAAATATTTTTTTCCCAGTCTGTGGCTTATCTGTTCATCCCCTTAAGGTCTTTGAGTTTTCAGAGGAAGAAATTCGTGTGATTTGTTACAGACTTCATGGCTAGTGTACTCAGAGCCAGAACAGGAGCCCTGAGTGCCTGATTTCCTCTGTGCTTCTTGGCCTCCACTGGAGAAAAACGTCTAAAATGTCCTGCTGATTGAAATACTGAGCGTTAGAATCTTCTGTCTTTAAAAGGGATTGCCTAACAAAAGAAATTAATAAATAACTAAAATAAAATAAAAGGGATTGCCTTTGTCTTCATCTTCCCTGTTTAGGGCAGAAGAGATGAAAGTCTGAAAGTGGATGAGCATCTGGCCAAAAAGGATGCCCAGGTCAGTAATAGAGCAAAGAAAACAACCCTGTAACCATACTCCCGTTTGACTGCCTTGTCATTGGTGAGGCACCAACAGAGGCTGTCCTCCCGTGTCCCCTCTGGAGGTGCAGCCTGAAGGCTGGGCATCACCCACCCCTAGTTTTCTGTCTCCCCCAGTGGTGTTTCTTCTGGCTCCACCTCCCTGACTCTCAGATTCCTAGTCTGCTAATAGTGAAGGCCTTGGGTGAGAGATTATCTCGCTAACCTCTACCACCAAGTAAACTTCCCATTCTTCTTGGTCCGACACCCTCCTACTGAGAGAATAGGAGGGAGGGAGAGATTGTGTCCATAATAACATTCTAAGTCTTCCTTCTTGTCTGATAGATTCTCTATAATGCTGGGGAGAACAGATGGGGCACAGATGAAGATAAGTTCACTGAGATCCTGTGTTTAAGGAGCTATCCTCACCTGAAACTAAGTATGCGCTGATATTACAGTCCTTTTTACTTCATGTTGTATTTGCAAATGTTTGGGGTTTAATATACAAAATTTTGGAAAATGAAGTTAAAAATTGCAAAGGCTCTTCCGTTTGTATGTATAAACAATTCAGGAGAATACGTGGGGAGCTGTGTTCCAACTCAAGGCAGAAGTGACCCTCCTCTTGTCTTTCCTGAAGGCTGAATGCATTACCTAGTGAGTGACAGGTGACAGATGGAAGAGGGACAACAGGGAGAAGAAATGGGGGAGCCCTCTGGGGTAAAAGCAGAGAGGAATAATTTCCAGTGATACAGAGGAGCCTGAAGGCAATGCTTCCAATCCAGCTCTTCCCTAGTTAGTCGCTTTCCAGAAAAAACAGGTATCTGTTAATGTGTTTACAAGGATTAACATTCAGCTCTTTCTGATGTGATGATAAATGGGGAAAGGCGGCATAGTTCTTTTGGGCAGACCAACTATTACACGGAACTGCCAAGCACCCACCTCCTGACACTCATGTATCTCCCTGAACCTTCTGGAAACAACAGCACCCAGAAGCCCAGAACTCTGCTTGCTATGAACAGCTGACTTGGCTTCCAGGTGCTGGTTGAGAGAGCAACCATAGTGCATGACTAGGCTTATGCTGAGTTCATGGAAAAATGAGGAAACATAAGGATATTACTATGACATTTTAGTTCTGAGATTGCCCTTCCTTAATTTTGGCATTAAAGTTTCACTTATTTTATAAAATAATGGTAATAGTATATTTTAGTTGCTTTATTAGCATCTTTATTTGAAAATAAAAACCAAACAATCCTAGATTTCTCTCCAAAGTCTTTTTCAAAATTTCCTCAAGAAAAAAAAATTTACTTGGCTTTCAAAGTATGTCTGTGTACTTAGTGACATATAGGTTTTGCTTTTTGGCAAAAACTGATCAAGACATTTGAATGCCTTCTGGTGAGTGTGAGTAGGCCATGCTGCTTTAGGAAATGATTTACTCTGCAGAAAGAAATCTTCATAATTAAGATTTCTTCAGCAGATAAAGCATATTTGACTAACAACCACACTATTATTATAGCAGCACACCAGGTGCTGCTATAATTTAAAAGCAGCCCACCTGGGCAGCCCAGGCGGCTCAGCGGTTTAGCGCCGACTTCAGCCCAGGGTATGATCCTGGAGACCTGGGATCGAGTCCCACGTCAGGCTCCCTGCATGGAGCCTGCTTCTCCCTCTGCCTGTGTCTCTGCCTCTCTCTCCCTCTGTGTCTCTCATGAATAAATAAATAAAATCTTTTTTAAAAAAGTAGCCCACCTTATTAGATAAGTTATTTTTCATTTAACTTTTCAGGCTATTTTAAATTCTATCAGCCTGGGAAGGGGTAGGAGAGAAGAGAGAAAGAAATCATTGAAGAAAATGGCCTATGGAATTTTGGTTTTATTGTAGATGATTTTTTTTAAAAAGAAACAAAACTTCCATGCTCAAATTTTGATGGTTTGAAAAGGAGTTTTTGAGTTTGACACTTAACAACTTGCATATCAAATAAAAAACTGGAATATATTCAACTGTGGTCAGATGGGATGCTTTAAATATTTTTGTGGTGCCACTCTGTAGCATTTGATGAATACAGAAATATTAGCCAGAAGGACATTGAGGACAGCATTAAAGGAGAATTGTCTGGGCATTTTGAAGACCTACTGCTGGCAATAGGTAAGCCCTCAAGTGCTTATAAACCGAGTTACTTTGCACTTGTTTTCAACCAATGTGAAGGTTCAGTCCTTCCTATAAGAATCCTAACTGATCCATCTTTATGCTCCCACAGTGCACAAAATATGTTCAACAAATATGTTAAATGAATGCATGAAGAAGTTATCTTTATAGGTTTTACTTTGCCTTTTAACTTTGTATTAGTTTATCACCATGCTTGGATTGTAAACTCCTCGAGAGATGAAAATATTACATTTCTGTTGGCATTTTTATTAAGGCTTGTTGAAAACTGAATAATCTCATAATTTACTAAATTTAGTAATTTACCATATTTGGTTAGTTTTGGAAGATATCAGTAGCTCCCAAAGCTAAGCCCAGGTCAGAACCATAGGTCTCCTCCCTCTTGGCCAAGCTAACTGGGTGTAGTGCACAGAAAATCAGTCACAGACCCAAGCTGGTCCTGGAGACATATGGGTTAACAAGCAGGCACAAACACTGTTATGTAAGCGGATTGGTCTTTGGGACCAAGTTATTTATCAGCAGTCGAAGACGCTAGAAATGGAGCAGTGGTACACCCTAGGGAGTTATCGATGTAAGTGTAGGTGTTGGTGTGTCTGGGTTCTGGAGATGAGTGAGCTGCTGTGGGAGCTTCTTTGGCAGGTAATTATATTTTCCCCATGACTAAAGATAATGACTGTGCTAAAGGTCTGTGCAAAAATGATGTGATAAGCCTTTGAAATTCAGGTGAAGCATTCACCTCTCCATTCTAAATAAAAGCCAGTAGTGATGAGGGGGGTGGAGTGGGATGGTTACTCAAAGAATCTTTTTAAAAAACATACTACCGTAGATTAACTCAATTTCTATTAAGTGAAATTGAACATTACTTTGCTTTTTATAACAGTTCATTGTGCCAGAAACATGCCTGCCTTTTTGGCTGCAAGACTGCATCAAGCTTTAAAGGTAGGTCTGGAAATTTCATATCCATTCTTAGTCTCCCTCAAGGAGAATATAAAAAGAAGTTGCATGATATTGATGGAATTTCATGTCCTTTTCCTCCTCAGAGGAGTACTTGTTTGTCTCGTAGGTTGATAGTATCCTAATCATTCTAGAGATAGTAAAGAGAGTGGTCAGTAAAACTTGTTCTAGAACACCAAACCTCAAGCCTGACTCATTAGGTCTGGTGGCCTCTCCAGCTGCTTTTCTTAAAAAAAAAAACAAATGGAGTCAGTAGCCTTTTGTTCTATAGAAATCCTGCACTTTCATGTCTGTTACTGCTGCTAGACGGTGAGGTCTGTGAGTACAGGGGATTTTCTGGCTTTCAGGCCCTTGCCCAGAGCCTGGCACATGAGAAAATGCTTTCTTCAGTCTCTTGACTGGACGTTTCCTAAAGAGGTCCACATGTGCCTTCAAAGTGACATCCAAAGTGAACGCTTCATGTCCGTCGCCTCACTACCCACCAAGGCTGCTCTCTGTCCCGTGTTCACTCACTTCAGTGGGGAGCCCCGACAGGAGCTAGCCTTGCCCGACTCTCTGAAGTTCTACTATTCCTGCTAATCCTTACCCTTTGTGCCTCAGCCACCTTGGCCTTCTTTCTGTCCTTGACAATGCCAAGTGTCTTCCCACATCATTGTCTTTGTGTCTGTTGCCCTCTCTGCCTGGAATGTACCTCTTCCAGGTCTACCTGTGGCTCATCTCTTCTGAGAAAGGTCTTTCCTGACTAAACAGGTTGATTGGCTTTCTTTTGTTCACATCCCATTTCATATTTCTTATTAATAACGTGTTAACTTTCTTTACTGTCCATCTCTATCCATTAAAACGTTAATTCCATGCAAATAGAGATAAATCTGTGCTCTTCACTACCATATGCACAGTGCATGGAAGCATGTCTGGCAGGTAGTAGATTCCTTCATCTGGTTGATTACTTCAGCCCGAGGCAGACCTTTCCCAATCCTTGATCTATTTTAGGCCCTCCTAACACACACCCCCATAGTACCCAAGATTTCCTGTATGTTGGATTATGTGGCATATTCTTTACAAAATTGGAAGCCTAGCAGGGACATCTCATTTCTGTTTTCAGCATTTGGCATGGTGATGGCACAGAGTAAGCACTCAATAAATATTTCTTGACTATATGAATGATGAAGTTTGATGACAAATGAGTGAAGAAGAGTCACTGTGGTTGAATATTTTGTGCACCATTATCTGTTTCCTATAAATACAGATCTATATGTTGTTTTGTGACCTGTGGACACCTGTATTTCTTAACAGGGTGCTGGAACTGATGAGTTTACTCTGAACCGAATAATGGTTTCCAGATCAGAAATTGACCTTTTGGACATTCGAGCAGAGTTTAAGAAGCATTATGGCTATTCCCTATATTCAGCAATTAAAGTAAGTCTCATCTTAACAATAGTGAAATACATTTTGCCTTTCTCTTTTCGTCCACTTTTCTGTATAATCCTTAAAACATAGAGATACGTGACTGAGTTTTCTTTCTCCCTGTCAATGTATAAATGTGTTTTCTGAGTTTAAAATAGGGTAAAAAAATATCTCCTAAAGATAGTGATTATTTTTAACTCTAAAATCCCAGGCACATAATAGATACTCAACATTTATTTTTGGTTTAGTGGCCACTAATTGTTCTTCTTTTGTGAATTGTGTATGCAAGCCATCTACCTGTTTTTTATATTACAGTATTTTTTATTCTTTTTATTTATTTCAGTTTTTCTTTTTGACAATAGAAGGAAAACAAAATACATGTTTTAAATTTCCTACTTTTACCTGAAGTCTGGTTGACATACAATGTCACATTAGTTTGAGGCATAGTTAAATTTCCTCTTGTTTTACTCAAAATATAGATAGCATGGTTCTGTACTTTGGAGCTCATCTCATTTCAGTTTATAGGAACTTTCTCATTCTTTTAACAGCTGCATATCACTCCATTATTTATATATTTGCACCCACCATATCAATAAATGTTTCCAGTTTCTTGCTATTGTAAACAGGGCTGTGATATGCATACCCATTTCCGTAAGGCACAAGTGTATCTAAGGGATACATTCTGGTAAGTTTGCAGGATTGCTGAGGCAGATGTAAAGGACACGTGAAAGGACACGTGTAATCTTGGTAAATATTACCAATGGACTTCCCTTTGCACATCAATTAATCAACTAGATTCATTGATCAAAACAAATCCTTTTTTTCTTTCAACTGGAACTTTTGTTTTTACACTAAATCTTTGCAGGAGGAGATACATGCTTAAATTGAAATCGGGAACTTACTCAAAAAGGCAGCTCTCAGACTGTGCCTGAGGCTTAGCGCAGATTTCATCCACTCATACTCAATGCAATTTAAATCAATTCTGACACATTAAAATAGTTTCAATCAACACAGGAAAATTTAATAACATTAACCAGATTGTACTATATCTAAGGCAGAAAAGTAGACTCTTATATTTTATAAAGATTGCCAGTAACAAGGTTGAATCACAAAGAAGGTCTTCAATTCACCCTCAGCAAACTAGAAAATCAAATTAACCCTCCCTCGGTGGCTGGCTAATTGAGGCTTATTATATTAGGATACATCTCAGCTATGTGGTGCCTTGATAGGAAAGAAAATTCATTGCTGAAGAATTCAGTTTGTAATTTAAAATTGCGTGAGGAAAAAAAATAAAATAAAATTGCATGAGGCTTCCTCATCTCTATCACCTAATGTACATTTTTTAAAAATGAAATGTTAAGGTTGGATCAGGGAAAAAAAGAGAGAACTTCAGCTAGATCAGTAAGTATGAAACAAATTAAAAAGGAGGTCAAAGACTACCTTCCTAAAAACCCCAGGATTTGCTAGACTCATAGGTGAGCTTCACCAACTTTGAAGGAACAGATATTCCTATCGTATGCAAGTTGTACCAGAAGGCAGGAAAAATGAGAGCTGCCTAGTTCATTTTATGAATTTAGTATAATCTCTTTTAAGATTGTATTTATTTTATTTATTTGACAGAGAGAAAGAGAGAGCACACAGCAGGAAGAGGGGCAGAGGGAGAGGGAGAAGCAGGCTATCATGGAGCAGGCAGCCCAACATGGGTCTTGATCCCAAGATCCCTGGATTGTGACCTGAGCTGAAGGCAGATATTCAACTGACTGAGCCACCCATGTGCCCCGAATTTAGTATAATCTTGATTACAAAGACAGAGGACAAAGAAAATGACAAATTCATTTCACTTATGAATATAGATAGCAAAGAGCCAATTGACTGAATGTATCAGTTTATTAAAAAATAATACATCAAAATCCAGTGAGGTTTAACCCAGGAGTAAAAGGATGGCTCAACATCAGAAAATTAATGCGATTGCCCACATTCCACACATATAAAAGATAATTTTATAATTATTTCAGTCTTTGTAGGAAAAGCTTTTGGAAAGGGAACAATACCTATTTATTATAAGAAAAAAACATTTAACCAAATTAAAAATAGAAGCAAACCTCCTTAAATTGATAAAGCTTACATACCAACATATTATAGCAAGTACATACTTAAATTCAGTGGAGAAACTTTAGATATAGTTCCTTTAAGATAGGGATCAGAACAATAATACTTCCTACATACTAATAAATACTATACTAATATACCTTAGTACTGTCCAGAGAGGACTAGGGGGCCTAGAGAGTACTGGATAGGAAGAAAAAAATGTGTAAAGATGAAATGGAAAAGTTGAAGCTTTCATTATTTTCAGTAAATACAATCATCTTTCTAGAAAAATCAGCAGGAATTCTAAATTATCATCAGTAATAAAAATTCAGCAGTGTCGCCAGATAAAGATCAACCTATCAAAATTAACAGTATTTCTTATACTATATCATCAAAATTAAGATACCATTCATAATAGAAATGAAAAACTATAAACTATTCAGGAATTCACTTGACCAATACTACATAATGATGGAGAAAACTTTAATACTGTTATGAACACCATAACATATGTCAATAAATGGAGAGATAGTTCACTTGAGTGATGTGATAGGTTATTATAAAGATGTCAGTTATTTCTCAAAGTAAGCTATAAATCAAATGCAATTTCAATCAACATTCCAGCTGGATTTGTTTGAGGACCTGGATTGACTTACTCTAACATTTATATGAAAGAATGAAGATTCATGACTAATCAACCTTAAATACAAAGAGTAAAGATAGGGAAAGGGATAGTCCTACTAGAGACTGACATGGTACAAAGTGATTATTAATTGTTTTAGATGTAGTTTTGGATTAAGAACAGACAAATGAATCAGTGGAACAAAATGGAGACCTCAGAGACAAATCCAATTGTTTGTGGAAACATATAGGCTAGAAGGGGCACCATAAATTAGTAGGGGAGGGACAGATTATTTAGTAAAAATATATTGGGAAACCTGGTTGACTCTATAGCAAAAACTAAGACTGGATCCTACTTAACACCGTATCACCAGTAAACTGGAGATGAACTAAAAAACAATATATAAAAGATAAAATTATAAAGGTAATCCAAGAAAATACAAGAATTACCTTTGTGACCCAGAAGCAAGGAACAAATTTTTGAACAACAAAAGCATAAATCACATTGCAAGAAACAACAAACAAATAAAGGTACATTATTAAATATAAAATATATCAAATAATCTCGTTACGTTTTCAATACTGATGAACAGGATCTTTTTATAAAAAGAAATATTTTATTTATTTATTCATGAGAGACAGAGAGAGAGGCAGAGACACAGGCAGAAGGAGAAGCAGGCTCCCCACAAGGAGCTCGGTGTGGAACTCCATCCCAGGACTCCAGGACCATGCCCTGAGCCACCTAGGCGTCCCAAATAGGATCTTTTTGATGCTTAAATTTCCATAATTCAGCAGCTAGAGTACCATTTCATATATTACCTGACCTTTCATTTTGTCTTCCTCTTTTGCCTGTAGTTTAGACATTTCTCTCTGTTCATTAACACCTTTCTCAGGTGATAACAGTTGGGGGTGGGTGGTAAGAGGAGAGAAAGAAAGTAGGTGAGAACAACTGTGTCTGTCCTATTACTTAATAGTAAGATATTAATACAAAATTTCATTTTCTTGGTAGATTTCATTGAGCAACAAATTAAGTAGCTATTTAATAAATAACACAATTCCAGGGTCTTTTAATGGAAAACATAGTAGCCATCCTCAATTCATAGTCCATGTAGAGATGAGATGAGCATAAAAAAAAACAATTAGAAGAAGATAATCTGAAACAACATACAATTAAATACTAGCTTATGCAATCCAGAGGATAGTAATGTAGGAACCGAAAGTAAAGAAGTTTGGGATTAGATAGGGAATGTTTCCTGGGGAAATGAGTCTTAAGCCTACCTTTCAGGTTTAATAAGCTTGTGTTGAGTGCCTCCTGTGGGGCAGTGCTATGGTGCTCAACAGGGACTCAGGTGAATGCTTTAGGAATGTGTATATGGTAAGGAGTAGGACAGAAAGAAGTAGTAAGGCACTAGATCAATTTGGGGGTCCACCCTGGGGAATACTGAAAAACAAAACCTGAGTGGCAAGATGAATTCAGTTAAAAAAGAGTTTTGAGACCACAGAATTTGTATTTCATCCATTCAATTAAAAATATTTACTGAATGCATACTGTGTGCCTTACTGAGGGTTATAATTACAAGCAAAGTAAAAAAAAAAAATTTCCTGTCCTTATGGAATTACAAATAAATGTAAACTTACAACTATGTTAAACATAAAGGAAAGAGACACTGTGTTGTAAGACCATATGATAGGAGGACAACCTATAGGAAAAGCTTCTATGAGAAAATTATGATTCAGATCTGAAAAAGAGTGGACAAAGTTTGTCAGGTCGGAGAGTCAGTAGAGCATTCTAACAAAAGGAAATGGAATTACAAGTGGAAAGACCTCATAGTAAGGAGACATGATGAAAAATAAGGCTGGGGGGACCAGATCACCCAAGACCATTTTGGCAATGTTTAAGGATCTTGTCTTTAGCCCAAGAATATTGAAGAGTTTTCATTTTAAGTGCATAGTGTCATGATCAGAAGTACATTTTGAAAAGATCCCTGTGACCGTGGGGAATGAATTGGACATAAGAAAGGAGAGATTTAGGGGTACTGAGTTATTTTATTAGTCATACTGGAGCTGCTATGACTGAGTAATGCAAAGTACTAATGCAAAGAGAGCAAAGAACAAAAAGTCAAAAGATATTTAGAAATTAAAACTTCAAGGACTTGATGTGATATCTTGGTGTAAGGAACAAGAAAAAAAAAGGTGTCAAGGATGACTCCCAGGTTTTTAACTTGGGATCAGATAGTGGTGCTAAGACCTACAAGAAGGTTAGGCTTTAGGTTTTTGTTTTTGTGTCTTGTTTTCTTTTTCTTTTTGGGGAGTGGAAGAGAAAGTTCACGAGTTTGGTTTTGCACTCGTTGAGTTAGAAATGTCTTTGAAATATGTAAGTAGAATTGTCAGGTCAGTAGCTAGTGGTATGAGATATATTTTCAGAGTCAATTATGTTACTGAAAGTTGGACATGAATGATATCCTCTAAGGAGAAAATATAAATTAAGAAGAGAAGAAAGCTTAGAATTGAGATTTAAGCATTACTCACAATTAATGGCTGGATAGGTGAGGGTGAGCCTGCAGAAGACAAATGTAAGGATGCCAGAGAGGAAAAAGGAAAAGCCAGGACTACTTACAGAAAAAGTAAGGGCTTGGTGGACATGGTGGCCATTGGACTTGATTTACAAAGCAATAAGAATTAACACCTTGGAGAATACAGTTGATGAATCTAGAGCCAAGGAAACTAGTGACAAGAGATGTGAGCCTAGAGTAGATTTGCCATGGTCAGAATGGAGAGAATAAGTTAAAAAACACTGCAAAGAAGCAATCAGCAGATGGATTAAATGTAGAGGAGAAAAGATGGGATCAAAGTCGGGAGAAGAGAGGATTGTTGGTGGCACTGTTAAAAACACACCAATAGAGACAATTAGTTTCTTGAGAGCAATTAATATGGCCTAATCTTAATTAGGGTTGGCCTAGGGTTGGAGCCCGCCGCGGCGAGGAGGGAGCCAAGAGCCTACGGAAAGTGCCGGGGGCCCCCCACTGTGCACCTCGCCTCTTCGGATCCAACCCCCTACCGCGGGGCTGAGGTGGCCCACCCCAGGGGCCAGCCATCCGGGTCCTTGAGGTGCCCATCTGCAGGAAGAACAGGGGTGCTTTCCCTCAAGACGGCTGGCGGGCCTTCCCAAGGAAGGACGGACGGCCCACACCTGCGGCGCACAATTAAATTTTATTTTTGCTGATTTTGAAAAAAAAAAAAAGAAAGTAAGATATATAGAGGTAGGAGAAAGGATGGACTTTGTTTAGCATCAACAGTGGATCAGAAGTTACATATAGCTCTGTTAAGCTACTTGGATGTATTTTCTTGCCTAACTGATAGAACTGCTAAAAATTGTCTACAGCTTGGTCAGAGATGGCTAACGGGAGCTGTTTTAATACACAAGTAGAGCATTGTTGGCTTATCAGCAGTTTCAGAGATTATTACATATGGTAGAGCAAGACTTAGAAAAACCAATAGAAAAAGAGCTACAATCTGTATAAAACAGGAGAATGTATAGTAATGCCTGTGGTGTCTCATTATGAAAGCAATGCATAATCTCTTCTCTAAATGATCCTTCTTTATGCCTTCCTTTGCATTACTACTAACTCTCATATTTATCCTGATGTGAAACTTAAGCGATAAGAAGTGCTCACTGTTTGAGTTGCTTTGAATAGAATAAGAACAATGTGAGGATTTTAGGCAGTCTAGATTAAAAGCCAAGTTTAACCACCAATGCTATGCGAAAGTTTTACCTGTTTTGCATGGCAAACAGGCATCTTTGTACATGAGGCCTCAAACTCACGTGATATCTGTCCTGAACCAAGATGTATTTTGGCAGCTTAGAGGAAAGGAACTGGAAAGTATACTCTTTGGGAGTGTAGTTTGTTTCAGTTTCTTAAATCAGGCAGTATAGTATGGTGTTAAGGCCCCAGGCTATCTGGCTTGAATCCTACTTCTGTTGCTTATTCTCTGTTTGATTTAGAGTTTCCTAACCTCTGTTTTTCTCATTTCTCATTAAATGGACATACTTAGGGCACCTACTGCATAGAGTTAAAAGGATTATAAGATTAAAGTAGTTAACCCTTAGAAGAGCAAGCATATGATGAATATTAATATAGTATTATTAAAATTGTCATTTTTAAAGTTTTATTAGAAAAGTAATATTATATAATGTCACACAATTGATGCAATCAATCTTATTTATTATCTTTTTATTTTATTTTTATTTTTTTTAAGATTTTACTTATTTATTCATGAGAGACACAGAGAGAGAGGCAGAGACATAGGCAGAGGGAGAAGCAGGCTCCATGCAGGGAGCCCGATGTGGGACTCGATCCTGAAACTCCAGGATCATGCCCTGAAACAAAGGCAGACACTCAACGGCTGAGCCACCCAGGCATCCCGCAATCTTATTTTTTTTTAACCTAAATTGAAATTTAATTGCAATGAATCAGGAAGAATTTAAACATTATGTATTGTAAAGAAGATGCTAGGCTGCTAGGCTGGAATAATTACACTCAGGTATGAATGAATAATGGGATTACAGGTGCATTTTACTAAATGGTCCAGGTCATGAGTCTCACCCCAGAGAATCCCCTAGAGCTGTGGGATTTCATTCATTTACAGTTCTTTCATTATTTATGTTATATCTGTCCTCTCCTTTTCCTTATAGTCGGATACTTCTGGAGACTATGAACTCACGCTCTTAAAGATCTGTGGGGGAGATGACTGAGTCAAGAACATAATCTCCGAAGGTCACTGCTCCACAACGGGCCTTTCCAACAGTCTGCTTACTCCTTTCTCAGAGTTTAAAGTAAAAGCAAGTGTAAACAGCAAACTGTTTTCCTAATGGATGTTTTCATCATTCCATAATAACAACAAAAAGTGATTATAGTAGAGCATCTCAGCATCATGTAGTAACTCATAAATGAAATTTTTAAATGTATTAAGGATCTGCTAATATGATACAAATTATTTTTCTGCTTAGGAAGTGAGAATCTTTGTAGAATTCTAACACATTAAATTTGTAATCAGAGTCAATAAAAGTTTTGCTTTTATGAAAGGAAATTTGTCTTTGTTTTTAACATATGCCAACATTGTTTTGTACATGATCGCCAACAATTAATGGTATTTTAAAATGCATTTTTTAATAAAAGGTATTGCTGCCTTAATTTATCTATTACCTTATTAATTACATTTATCTTTAAGAAAGAAATAGAATGAAGCTGTGTGTAATTCTGGCCTGCTCTTTCTAGCTGTGATCAAGCTATAGGAATGGCAGTGCAGGAGAAGTTATTCAGCCCTTAGAAGACATCTGCTGAACTATAAATCTAACCACTTCCTGTCAGAATGGCAAACATGAATTGTGGTCATTTCATGCTAAATTCTATTTTCCCAGAATGGGTATGTAGAACCAATTCTCTAAAGATGCTTTTCCTCTAAAATAAGTTTGTAAAACTATGCATTAAAAAAAATTCCTCATGTTCTTTTTGCCAGCAACTTAAGATGAAATATCTTAACTAATATGAAATATATAAGGTAATACTGTCCATTTGGAGTTATTAGTCTGGACTTGCATAGAAATGATAAATGTGTGAGCCATAGAAACAGAGATGTAGGAGCCCAGAGCTTTTAATTAATGATTCCTTTGGCAAACATTCTGAGGCCTTTCAGAAGGACCAACAAATTGTTTCTTGTTCTAGTGTTTCCAAAATGCATAAAGGAAGGAAAGCACCAGGACTTAGAGTCCAACACATCTGGTTTTGACTTCCTGCCTTACCATTTCCTGGTTCTGTGACCCTGGGAACTACCAAACCCTGCTCAACTGAAGTTTTCTCAACTGAAGTTAAATGGTGATAATTATAGCACCTACCTTTCTCTTAGGGTTTTTAAAAGAGTAAATAAGATAATGCCTTCAAAGCACTTAGCCCTGTGGTTGGACGAGGTAAGTGTTCAATTATCATGTTATTATTACTGCCAAGCAACATCAAAATGCTCATGACAGCATTGCAGACATTTTCAACAGGGACGTGTGGATCATCTACCACATGCCAAACTCTATGCTAAGTATGTATTGGATACACCAAGGGGACTGAGACCCATCTGCTTTTGCCAAAGAGCTTAAAACCTGTTTAGGGAGAGAGATATGTGCGTATAATCACAACACTGTGTGTACCATGTACATTGAGAGAAATGACATCGTGTAAGAGAAAAGTGCTATGGAGGCCGGATCCGTAATTCATCCTATCAGAGGTCACAAACTGCACCAGTAAAAAGAAGAATAGAGGCTCTGCAGATAGCTAAGAGCACTAGCAAAGTCACAGCGTTATAAACTAGCACACTGTGCACCGCTCCACCCAACGGTTAATGTGGTGGGGTCTCAGAGGACAAGGCGGGGGTATGGTGACCAGAGGCCAGATTACAAGTCTCATGCTTAAGAGTTTATAAGCAAGGGAGACTAGTGAATGGAAGGAGCATTCCAGGAGGATTTCATTAAGGGAAATGATGTCAAATTTTTGCTCAAGGGGGAAGAATGTCTGGGAGAAGAAAGCTAGAGGCAGGAGCCCCCTTGGCAAGTTGGTTCTATAATCAAGTGTAGAAGTGTCAGCCTGAGGTAAGATAATGGCCAGGGAGAACAAAAATCCATGCACATACTTAAGAAATAAAACTGATAGAATATGGTAATCAAGGTAGTCAGGTGTCACTTGCCTTATGATTTTGGCTGAAGTGATGTAGTGAATGAGTGTCTCAGCAAGCAATAAATCCTTGCTTATGCTTCTTGAGTACTTACTGTCTATCAGGCACTATGTTAAACACTACAGTATATATGAAATCATTAATCCTGAAAGAACTTTACAGTGCAGACACTAATCCACAGATACAGGAATGGAACCTGAGAGAAATTAATTAACTTGCCCATTGGAAGAGCCAGGACTTGAACTCAAACAAGCAGCCAACTCCACTATTTGGCCTTAAAATTTATCCTGCTGTCCCAAGGTCACTGTTCTTTTCAAACCTGCAATGTCAGCTGTTGGAAGGGATTTTTGTCTGTTACATTCACTGCAGTGTCCTAATTCTTAGCACGTGCTTGGCACATAATAAATCTTTATGGGATAAATAAAGTTTTTCCTCTGTGCACCTGAGCTACATAAGTGAATTTGGGGTAAACATTCGTAGGTATACCTGAGCCTCAGCTTCCCAGGCTGGGGGAAAGGAAACTAATACATTACACTATAAGGCAACCTTGGAGAAAAGTTCAGAAACTTTACCCTTATACACAGTACTTTTTCCAAGCTACTCATCACCATGGGGAGAAATACTTTGTGAAGTTGGCCAGGGTATTGGGACTTCCAGAGAAGCAAGGAGTTTGAATGCCTATAGGCTCTCCTTTACCTAGCATCAAGCTAAACTCCTGAAATGGCATTACTAGATTTTAATCTTGGCCACATTCTCCAAAGTTATGGAGAAGTAATCTCTACTGTCTGTTTTTTTTTAAGATTTTATTTATTCATGACACACACACACACACACACACACACACACACACACACACACACACGGCGGCGGGGGGGGGGGGGGCGGGTGGTGGCGGGGCAGAGGGAGAAGCAGGCTCCATGCAGGGGGCCCATGTGGGACTGGGACTCGATCCCGGGTCTCCAGGATTGCGCCCTGGGCTGCAGGTGGCGCCAAACCGCTGGGCCACCGGGGCTGCCCTCTCTACTGTCTTTGGATTTTGATATTGACTCTTCTCTTTTCCTCTGGAAAAATGGTTTTCTTCACTAGAGCTCTCCCGTATACATTTTTCCTCCTTCCTTCCTTCCTTCCAACCTTGTTCCTTTCTTCCTTCCTTCTCTCTTTCCTTTGTCCTTCCTGCCCATTCATTCTTCTCTCTATTGATTTCTATAATGCAATAAGCACTTTGGCATCCACTCTCCAATGTGAACCCTAAGACTTTAACAATAACTGCTACCAACCACGCGACCTTCCCCTCCCATCCTCTCTGAATCTCCCTACCTGACCATTCTGAATTCCATATTGATTGTCACCTTGCTTTCTTTTTATATAGTTTTTCATTTAATTTTTTTCTTTACTAAGTCTTGTGCTTATGTAATCTCTGAGACTTACTTTTTCATTTAATATTATTTTGCTAAGTGATATCCATATCATTGCATGTCATGTATTTTATTTATTTTGACAGCTATGTATCATTGCACTGTGTAAGTCATAAATACAACTGCTAGGAGTCCAGAAAGCTGCCCTCACGGAAGTAGGAGAAGCATAATTTTATCTCGCTCTCTACCCCTTTGAAGTTATGGTGCCTCACTATGGCCACAGAAGTAGCCTTCGTCTCCAGTCACTAAAAGGCAGAATGTAGCAGGAAAAACACAAAACTAGGAAGAAACTGGATTTTTCTCTTTAATGGGTGCCGATCACCCATTTCTAATGTTGGGGGAGCAAGTAGCTTTTAATAAACAATGCTCCAAAACCAGCTGAATGTCCTACAATTCAACTCATTCTGATACCATCTACCTGGATTTAGCATTAGGTCCCACAGCTAAGGGCTCAATCTCACAAGATGCACCCCCTCCCCAACTTCAGATGCCATTACAAGTCCAGGTTATCACCTGTGCTTCCAACTGACTGGCTATAGATCGGAGGTTCCAGAGGTATGCTAGACTAGCTCCCAGTTCTCAGGAAACATTTATTTATGTTTACCAGTTTATTATAAAAGCATTTAATAAAAGATGCAGATGAACTTCAAGATAGAAGAAATGCTTAGGGCAAGGTATGTGGGCAGGGGTGTGGAACTTCCATGTCATCTCCTGGAAGTCTTTCTCCCAGTGTCTTCATGTGTTCGCCAACCTGAAAGCTCTCTGATCTCCATACTATTGGAATATTTATTCATCATGTGGGAATGATCATCATTAATTCATTTTTAGCCTCTCTCCCTTCTCAAGAGAATGGGAGGCAAGGATGACAATTTTAAGATTCTAATCATGGTTTGGTCTCTCTGATGACTGACCAGCCCTCATCCAGGGGCCACCCAGAACCCACCCAGAGTTTCCTCCTCATTAGCAAAGATCAAATATTAAAGGTGCTCCTAGGGCTCTTATCACTTAGGAAATAACAGGAGTTTTAAGAGCTTGGTGCCAGAGGACACCTGGGTGGCTCAGCGGTTGGATGTCTGCCTTGGGCTCTAGGCATGATCCTGGGATCTGGAATCCAGGTCCTAGTCTGAGGGAGCCTGCTTCTTTCTCTGTGTCTCTGCCTTCCTCTCTCATGAATAGATATATGGATCTTAAAAAAAACTCTGTGTCAGGAATCAGAGCTAGAGACTGGTATATATTTTCTATTATTTCATAACTTTCCTTTCCGAAGAATTGACTGTGTACTCTGTCAGAAAAAAGGACACCCACTGAACTATTGTGGATGCCTATGTGTGTGTTATGTATCCCTAAATTCCTAGCCCAGTTCCCTATTCACAGTGAGTACATGATAAATTTTCATGTCACTGATGTGTAACATGTGCTAGGAGACCTTTTCTACCAGTTGCACCAGGTTGTTGTAAGGAGCACAGGAAATAATGATTACAGCTATCTTCTAAAGTATTGAATACTATTCAAATGTGATGAGGAATTATGGAATTGATATTAGAACAATCAATTTTTTGTATATATGAATTAAGGACTTACATTGTGCTGAGTACTATGCTAAATATTTTAATTTCATTTATTTTCAGAATTATCTTGTCTGTCTTAAGTGCTTTGTGCAGCAAAGCATGGTTATACATATCTGTATCATTCCCGCTTTACAGATGAGGAAAATGAGGCCCAGAAAGGTTAGGTTGCTAGCCCAAGGTTATATAGCAGGGAAGCCAATGTTTAGGATCCAGGCCTTTTGGTATCTGTGTGTGTTTGAGTAGGAGGAAGGTGAGAACTCGGAGCGAGTGATGATCCCTTGACAGAATGCTGCAAAGAGAAAGGAACACAGATAATGAGACACTCCAAGGAAAGCTCTCCTCCTCCATCCCTCTCCTCCCATCCTTCTCACCTCACATTGCATTGGACCAGCTGGTAGCTGCTAAATGCATATTTCTGA